GTTCAAAAGTGAATACAGTAGATATTTGGTAGTTTCGAGGTTTACTGTTTTTAGACTTCAATGAAATTACCCGGACAGATGATACTCGGTAACAAAGCTAAGCGAACGAAGCAATATCATTTCATTCAACTCTCCTTACATTCGTTAGCTTAACATACGCTACTAGGTTTGCGTCGTAAAAGTAACCATAGCGATTGATAAGTAACAAATCACCTAACTGAAAGTGATACCATCGTCTATTGACCCAAAAGTGGTAATTAATGTAAGTGATTGTATACATTAAACCCAATTTGGGACTTCGTCTTCAAAATCGCAAAGACTCACATATCTCAAAAGACTTTTTAACCACGTCTGTGTACTTTTTGGATTGTACCTATTAAATAAAAAGCATTATAAATCCAAGATGGCGGCGACCGCGTGGTCCGGAAGCCCGGTGTAATGGAGAAGTGATATCGGTCGGTAATCGTCCTGATCCCCATCTGCCGTCACTCGGGTCAATTTGTCATAAACAGCGGGTTTAATTGAAAAGGTTTGTTTGGGGAAACTAAGCAGTTAGGAGCCGGTCGGGTGACGCCGCTGTGAAATTCAATTAATCAACACAGAATGAGACTACTCGACCCTGACCACCCACGCTTTTTGTTTCCCTCGGATAAAGGTGTCTCGGTGAAAATCGGTAGGCAGGGTACAGGTGTTTGGGTAATTTATTAGACGGTTTTGGACATTTTGAACTACAGTGTAGGAAAATTCATTACTCTATTATATCGCTATCGGTAAGTTGGCGTCACCAAGATTGAATTTAATAAAACAACAAAACCAGATTGTATTAATTGTGTATGCACACTAGCTTAACAGCTTATGTAAGAAAACATAATAAACATAAACATATTTTCTTATAGTGATATCATGGATAAGCAGATGAAAGTTATAAAGTATAGAATCGTGTTTCCTGCTTACTTCTTGATATCCTACCCCAATTAAAATTATTATAATCAGACTAATCTATGGATTTACAAACTATTATTTGTCCATTTTAAATATAACTGATGCAAGAGTTATGCCGATGTTTACAACGATATAAACACATTTAGTCATATCTATTACACCCTAACATAACCAGACATAATATAACTGGTCAAAAGAGCTTTCTATTTTACAATAGATTATTGGGACCTTGCTCACAGTATGCAAGATCAACCTAAATTTCTGTACATTGTCAAAACACCAAATATTAACAAATTTCGCTGTCTTGAAAATTCATGCCACCGAGTGTCGAATTGTCTCATTCCCTAATTTAAGTATTTCTCATTCCCTATTATCTACTTCAATTCAGTGCGAAAACGATTGAATAGTGACTAATTATTTACTCAATGTAAATATTTACAATACTGTGGGTTCATGCACTTACTCCCGATGTCGGGCCAGGTATTTACCCCCTACAGGAGGACGAAGACCAATAATATATTCAGTCTTATTCAATTGGCAGTTTTTTCGCAAGGGCCGTTTCAGATATCATACAACTTTCTCCCTGATGAAGATGATTTTTTAAGGGTTTTCATATTATTATTTGGCTCATCTTTGCATTTCGTGTCAGATAAAGCCAATTTACACAAACTAAGTAGCTAAGAAAAATGGGGTTTTCCGCAAATCACCGTACACAATAACGAAAAAGTCTATGTAACGATATAAATAAAATACGAAAACCATATATTTGTCCAAATCGATTAAACACCCAATGATTACCTTTTGATCAAAAGCCAAGTATTTCTTTTACTCTGCTTATTGAGGCAGTGACCCAAGTGTCGGTCCGGCGTTTCGATCGCGTTATTTTGGCGGTAAAAACGGAACTACGAGTCTTTGTCTTGTCGCCAACTTCCGCCGCTTTGTTTACAACGGCTAACCCCCTCTTCACGGTTGTTTCCCGTTCCAAATTATCTGTAAAATATAATAATTCTGGGAAACCGGCGGTCGGATGCACGGTGGGGGCGATTGTTTAATTGGCCCAAGACTCACGCTTCGGATGCTGGACGCTGGAGTGGCGACTGGCGAGTCTCCGGAACATCAGCCATATTTTACGTCAAGAGAAATTAACAACTTCTCAAAATATTGTGACAGACCGTCAAATTATAACAAATAGACAAATAGAATTAAAGACCGACAGCAGTGCTGCGGTGGGTTCTGGCGTCCACCACTAGGAGTGGCGTGTATACTGCGCACGCTCTACGTAGCTACATGGCACTCCAAGCGGTGGACGCCAGAACTTGTGTACTTATGTTAATCTAGTACCTACACGAAACGAATGAAATTGGTAAAATATTGTTCAAAAACATTTTTATTTTCTAATGTACGAGTAAATGATTATGTTGGTTATTTTGGACCCCTTTTCCCTGCTGGAAAATTGTCTTGTAGTTAATAAGAGTATTCTATAGATTTTTGGTAAATGCAGGAATGCCCATCACTAATGAAGAAAAGTGAAATGTCAAACGTTTCATCTAAAAACCTGTCCTCGTTTTCAGATAAAATCTATAAACATAAAAATACTAGTGCACATGACAATGCCACAAAACTGAAACGCAGTACAATATAGTTTAGAATATCAACTATTACAGAATTGGATAAACAAGAAAAATGGGAGAGATGAAGAGTTAAATATCAACGAAGACAGTTCACTTACTCACGATCATAACATCAACTCATTAAGAGAAACAGATTCTTAGAGAGACAAAAGAAAATATAATTAGGAACCCGTTAAAATATTATAGTTGGAAAAACTAAAAAAAAAACAACCTTTATGTTATCCAACGAAATACATAAGCATAAAAAATGCACCCTATGTCATTCCACTCGTAAAACGCCCTGACATTCCTAAGGTGAATTCTGCTGAAGAATTATCGTAAGACAGTAGTTGGCGGTTGAAACCATGACAATTTTCGCCCATCAGCTCCATACCGGCCTCAACCGGGTCAGGGTAGAGTGAACACTGCGTTTTGCGTTTACGGCAGCAACTATAAACGCGTTTACGATCTGTTAAGTCTCGCTGCCTCTGGACAAACTCGCACGTTCCACATCTGCTTGTTGGCAACTCTCGCTAAATCCGTACCTCGGTATTGCAGAGAACAAAACAATCAATCAATCAATCAATCAATTATTTAAGATGGGGACGCCACTATGTGCGTATTTTAACCCAAATATGAGTGAAGGATGAGTGTAGGATGAGTGGCGCGATCTTGTAGTCTTGTTAGTGACTAAGGCCGACATGTTCCTTAGACACAGCTGTTAATTAATAGCCCATAAAGCTAATGGCAACAAAGGGACCTACAGTTTATAGTGGAATCCGAACCACTTTTTTTCCTTGTAATTTACGAATTGGTCTAATTATCAGGATATTACTGCGGATAGTCGTAGTACTCACTAGTGCGGACGTTAATCCACACCAGGGAGCATCGCATCCACAGTGCATCCTTATAAATATCCACAATTCGTGACCTCCTAGTAGCTGGATTACAGGACGACGCCACCCGTCCCAGTCTATAATGTGATAGAAGCATGAGGTATTGACCTCGGATCACGTTGAAAAATTCCCATTTTCGTTTAATTTAGTTCAATAATCTTAACTTCTAGGTACTTGTTGGCATGTTACTAACTCACAAAATCTGTACCTCGGTACAGGATTATTGGTGTCGAACAAAGCAATATAATGTGAGGCATGAGGCATCACCTTGGATAATGTTGAAGGATACCCTTTTTGGTTGAATTTAGTTGAAATAATAATTTTCATGGGTTCGTTGGCATCTCCCTCATTTGCAAAATCTGTACTTCGGTATTGCGGTACTGGATGGTTGTTGAACGAAACAATGTAATGTTTAAACATGAGTTATCGACCTTGAATCATCACGTTGGTACGTTCCAACTTTTCAATAAGTTCGTCAATAAACTCCCATCGGGAATTAACTGATTTTAACAATTATACCCTTTGGTAGTAGGTGATCCACCTAGTTATGGTTGTAGTAGTTACTGTAAACTTAGGCAACTCACACGGGTTTTCGTTTTCAGTTTCGTATATTGCATTATTTCCTCTAATTCACCTTCTATTTTTCACGTAATAGTCTATTGTAGATTTTTAATATTTTAAATAACCTATTTGATATCCCGTGACTTAAGGTGACAAAATCAGTTAATCAGTTCTAGAATCTGAAACCTCTAACAGTAAGAAAGTGAACAGATGGTAAACATTAACAGCGAACTCTCCACCAGACATTGTTTTGCCTATACCACGATGACTGACCTATACCATCGATCTCTATTATTACTACAGCGTCTATACTAATTTACCACGTGATTGCTAAGATGAAGAGACAGGGTGGGTGAACGATTAGTGACGAGTGGCAATATAGAGACAAACACATCCATATGACGTAATGGGAGCGGATCGCGTCCGAGCGTACATCGATGGCTTCATCGCCTCACCCACCCTTGAAGTTTATTGCCTCCGTGTCCGATGTTGCGAAACTGTGAGAATATACCTTCTGTGTGTTATATAATTTATATTTTTGAAAAAAATATTATTTTGTGATTGGAAATTTGTTTGCATTATATCACAACTATTCCACTTGGAGACAAAATACTAGAGGAATTGGCAGTTAATCAAGACTGAACATCTTAGGAAAGCCTTTAGTAGTTCGCCCTTTGTTTAAGATCAAGATTTGTCTTTTTACATATATTTTAATGTTAAATGTTATGCTGTAAATATCAACGTGTACAATAATTCTTAATTGATGATCATTCCTTTCTTTCCAAAGGGCACATGGAGCAATTATAAAATCGAAGTGTTTTGCCGTCAAATGTTACTGGCGAATGTTTTAGAAGTGGAGAGAAACTGACATGTTTATGGACATTCGGATCCCTAAACTTTCTAGATTTACAAAATATTAAAAGTACTGTTGTCACCTAACTGTGAAGCATAAGGTTACAATTAGTGAAATACAATTTAACAAATAGCCAAGTACAAAAATATATTTACATTATTCTATTTACATCAAACAATAAAGTTGATCTAAACTGACAGATCTGCGATGATTTTCAGAGTTTTCAATTTCATAATCTTCAAGGAACCTTTAAAGCTGTTCACGATTGATTTCAATTCAGGAACCAAAGACGCTGAATCTGGTTTCAAACAGCTTGCTACTGCAGCGACTAAACCTCCAAAATGTCTATTTTGATCAATCAAGGCACTTGATGAAGACAACAACTGCACCAAAAGTTGCAGCTCGTGATGAGAAGGTTCTGAATTTTTAACCACCATTGCTAAAACCGGAAGTTGCCACTCTTGTAGTTCATTTAAATCTTTCAGTAATTCCTTTAGTAGAATATTCCAATGACGAACTTCCATCGCACTCATGAGTTCTTCGACACCAGCCAAATCTTCTACCCAAGGAGAATCCTCTTTTTGCAACAAAGGAGCTATTAACTCAACACAGACTACATTAGCTTCTTTGGATAAAATTGACGATAAAGGTTCTAATTTAGTTATATGATTTACACTTAGGTGTGGTAAAAGTACATGTTTGCAAAGACTACTGCACATGGTTGCTGTTGAAGTAAACACAACGCAAAATGCAAGTTTACTTTCATCCGATTGTAGTTGTGACCAAGCATTCTCCATCACTGGTTTCAAAAGTCGTTCCTCCAAGGCATTAAGATTAGCTAAAACTGGTTCCAATTCGATCTGCAGGTCAATCCGGTCAGATTTAAGTTTTGGTACTAACTTTTTGCAGGTATCAATAACAGAACTACTTAAATCTTGAATTTTCAAATCGCACTCTTCATTGGCAATATTGGTGTCAACATCAACATCTGAAGTGTCCATCTGAACTTCTTGTATAGTGTTGTTTAAAGTTGTGTTCGCTTCAAGGATTGATTCACTATGTTTCGACGATTCCTCCAGAACAGAAAACATTTTCGCCCATCTTTCTTCGTCAGGATCCACGAGAGTTGTTGCATCTTTAGGTGGAGTTACGGAGGATAACTTTTCTAGAATCTCTTCTTCGGGCATTGAAAACTTCCATTGGCCCCAAGATAGTCCTGTGATCGTCACGTCAGACTCTGAATACACGTTTTCCATTTCTATTAGCAGATTTATCCTCAATACTCTGGAAATTTAGTCCTAAACAAACATCATGCCAACCTCAATCAAAATTATGCTATCAAAACATAAACGAGATGAAATTCTTCACAGTGCATTTATTGACAACACTTTGTGGCTTAATGACCTGATGGCTGCCGCTTCATAATTTCTCCTAGCCAAACCCTGGAACAAAAACGAAAACCAGTGTTAATGTTATTTAGAAATGCACAATAAGTGTTTTGTCTACTTTAGTAGCTGATAGATGTACTGTACCCTACTAACAAGAGTGTTGAAGGTTCGATCCTAAAGAAAGTCAGTAGCTTTTTTCCGAAAATTGACCCAGTTACCCGTCATCATTAGGCTTCAATAAATCCTAACTAGTACCAGGCGATCTTAGTCAACGAGAAAGCTATTACGTCATTTAACCCTCATCCTTCGCCCATATTCGCACCAAAATTCACATCCTAGTCAGAGTATCGAAAACAAAATTAAAATCCCACTTATCGGGTCGAGAGAAGAAACCATTTTATCCCGCATGTATTTCTCCGTACTGTTTGGAGTGGACTAATTGGTGTAATACGTTTAACCCTTGCTATTATATGTACTGTGCTATAATAATTCAATCAATTGAGGTTAGTTATCATCTAGGTTGGTTAACATATAGTTAGATGTTCATTTGTTAAAAGTCTCGAAAAAATTATACATTATTTCCCAATTATGAAACATTTTCCTACGTCACATCATTTTTTAGTATAACAACATATTATTCTTCATAGATTATAAACTAAGGACACTTGACGAGGTTTTGACTTTTGAGAGTCGCTGGGGTGGGGAGGGGGTAAGGAGGGCAGTTTTCAATTTGGCCAGCCGCTAACGTAGCTGCCATAACTCTCTCTGTGGCAATAATAGGCGACCACACTGCGGTCAGGTACACGTTGTCCTTATTACCACCACTAACCACCACGGAAAACAATATGAGACGACACGTAATAATCAACAGATTTCTTACAAACGAGCAAAAGGTTTTACGTGAACTTACTATCTGAATTTCTTTGAATTTGTTTGTACTAATGCAATGTTAGGTCGTTTTTGGCTGTTAATGCAAAAGGATGGTTAATATTGTTGACGGAAGTTGAATGTGTTTATGAGTAATCACGCCAAAAACTGCCTTAAACTGAGGTAGGAAGAAAACGAAACTTTACTAAAAAAATACTATGTACAGCATAGGTTCGATTTTTGGCAAGTCTTATGTAACCAATTTCATTCTCTAAATTGATTAAAACAATATTAACAATGTTGAAAGCAATGATGGTAGTGCAAAACTATTTTTATTTACTCATTCATCCATGACGACAAGAAGAAATACAATAGTCAATATTCCCTTTACGTTTTAAAACAGGATTAAGAAACGTGGTTTTGACTTCTGCAGGTTGTTAATTTGAGAACTATGTACATGTACAATCATATACTCTAATACAAGCTATGTCTGTTTGTCTGTCTGTAATATATATCTCGAAATCCAGCTGAAGTATTTTGACTAAATTTTGGAATTGGATACTTGTAGCTCTAAAAACGTAATTGTTGACAGCTACTACCTCAGGAAAATCCATAGTTCACAACCCAACTCACCAAGAAAGTATGTTGGTTGAGCACAAGAAACAAAATTCTTGTAACATGTGTTTATAACAAGCCATTCACAGTAGGTACTGTATAGTGGAAAATTGTAATATAGGACAGTACAAAGAGAAGACACCAGTTGTTACTATTGAGCGAAGATTACACTGAAGATTACTCGATATATGGGAAAATAGTTCCGATCAAATTCTGATTATTTCACTTGGATCTCTCCTACAAAAAAATAAACCCCAAGGTACTGGGGCATTTAGTTGTAAGCAAACTTGATTTAAAAGTGAAATGAATATTCCATAATATTATATTTATTTAATGTAAACTAGAGGTCGTCCAGTGGTTGATTGACCAAAAATATGTAATGCACAGACTGCTCTATTTTCCCCCACGCTGTAAATAAAACATGTGACTGGAATTTCTTCCAAATGTTTTGATTTTCTTTTTATATTTTGTTGTTATTTTGTCAACAGCATGGCAACCCATAAGGCCCATTTTATTTTTTTTTAATTTTAAATTTATTTTTGTGCTGAAATCACTGAAATCCACTCTTTAGCTACTGCACACCTCCAGTCCACTGGTCATGCTAAACCTGCTCAGGTAGCCTACCTTGGTTTGCTGCTGCAGGTAGAGTAATTAGGTGTGTTTTTATTAAAATACTAGCTGAACACGGCAGACGTTGTCTTGCCTTTGACTATTTATAATCCCGCGGGCTTTGCCCCGTTTAACTTCTTAATTTTCAAGATGATCTCATTCGCATGGCTCAATCACGCCCTGGTTGAAGTTCGTTCGCTACGCTCACTCAGCTTTATGTTGGAGCTCGTTCGCTGCGCTCACTTGCCTTCAGGTTAGCTCGTTCGCTACGCTCACTTGCCTTCAGGTTAGCTCGTTCGCTACGCTAACTCGCCTCCAGGTTGAAGTTCGTTCGCTACGCTCACTCACCTTTTGGTTGCAAATTAGCTGTTGTCATAAATGTAAAAGAAATAATAGTGCTGCACCCTGTTGGTAATCCTTGTAACTTTAATGCTATTGAACATCATAGAACAGAACAAACTTGTTTAATTGAAACAGCTGTTAAGATTCATTAATTCTATTTCTCATAAGGTTAACATGGGAAACTCCAGAGCCACTGGGGTGGAGCCGATTGGACGGATCATGAAATTGATGGTGTATAAACCTATTCCATGACATTCTACACATATGTACCAAGTTTCGTGGCAATCGGTTCAGCAGTGTCTGAGTTTATCACTGCCAGACAAACAAACAAACAAATATATATTATACAAACATCCTCTTTTATACTTATAGTTAAATAGCTTAGTATAAAATAAATAAATTTGAAAAGTTGATCAAAATATATCCATAAACAAGCTAACTATACCAGTACACCACCACCAGTAACTATACCAATTAACATATCCTCTATAAGAATAACATGGGAATTTTAAATTTCAAATTTTTTGAATAGTCTCCGTAGCTAATAACCGTACAAAAACACTTCAATATACAAAATTATTAGTTTTTCATGCTCTTTAAAATGGTTTTAAAAGAAATTAGGAAATTTTATGTTTTAAGGGACAAAATTAAGAAAAAACCAATTGTTAAAAGCATTTAATTTTATCCCTTGATCTGTTAAACAAAGTACAAGAGAACATTTTATTTACAGATCAAGGGATATGATTAAATGCTTTTGTTTGTTTTGTTGTGAACTGATGTTCTTGAAATGATTATTTGATATAAAAATGTGTATTAAATGAAAATCACTGTGATGTGAACAAAAAAATGTGTATTGAATTACTGAAACTGTTTACAAAATTAATAATAATTAATTACATGTTTTAATAACATCTGTTAAAAATGTTAAGTACCGTACAAGAGAAAAATTTATTTACAGATCAAGGGATGAAATTAAATGCTTTTAACTCAAATTTTTACTCCTGAAAAACCACATTCCCAAGGTCCGATCATGCTGGTTCGCGAACTCATTCAAGTTTATCACGCCTAAAAACTTAAAGCAAAATTTTATCAAAATCGGACAAAAACTAATCAAGTTGCGTTCATATATAAAAATTTTAACAAATAGTGATTTTAAAGGGGGATATCAAAATGAAAAAGTATATCGGTCCCGGGTCCAGGTCTAACTGTGCAACCTACAGTAATAGCTACTTCCCTACATAGGGAAATTTCCTAAAAACATTTCAACTAGTGGCCAGGAAATTTCCTCCCAGCATTTTAGCAATCTGTTTAGTACCAAATTAGACTTAAACCTAAACATCCAAAGTGAAACCTAACTTTTGACTACAAACTGTTCAATATAGTCCCTGTATTGTATGGTAAAGAGTACACCATTTTTAGCATCAGATTTTTGGGGGGGGATTTTGTAAAAAATTTGTGTTTTTTTTATTAAATGACTTAAAAACCATGTGGTTTAGCGCAAAACACATAATTTACAAAAATGATCTACGTTTAACTTCATACAAAAATGGTCCTCTTCATATTCTAGTTAAAGTGAACAGTTGCAGCGTTAAAAAAAGTTAAATATTGACATTTTTTGAACATTTTAAGCACTTGCAAAGTCCTGGGACACCTAAATATCATAAAAAATAATAAAGATACAGCTACAAAGCTAGGAACAAAGTCCATTTAAAACATTATTCAGTGATACGCTGTCCTCCCCAGGGGTAAAGCCCTCTAGGAGTTATAAGAAGAAAATCTTTTAGGTGCACATAAGGTAAGCACCTAGGTTGATATACACATAAAGGTAAAGGTCTTTGTTAGTAAAATACAATGCCACAAACTCAAAGGAACAATCAAAACAAAATGGCAGCCGTTGAAATATTTCTTGAAGTTGCATTCGGGAATTTGAAATTTCTGTGCCCGCTAGACGAGGATGTTGGAATAAATCATAAATCTAAGCATGGCCTGATATGCATGTTAAGTTAAAGGTTTTAATTAGAGGAGTACAATACCGCAAACTTGAACTCAAACGGAAAACTTAGAAAAAAACAGGAGCCTTTCAAAGATTCAAAATTGCAAATTCAAGAAATTTGTCAACACCTGTCATTTTTTACTTGGTTTGCTGTTTTGGTTTGTGGCATTGTATTTTACTAACAAAGGCCATTGATTTTATGTCCATATCAACTATGTTAACCTTAAAGATTTTCTTCTGACTCCTAGCGGACCGTCCCCCTGAGGATATAGGTAGCGTCACTGAAAATCGTCAGAAGTTGATTCCAATACCAAAACCCGCCCGACACGTCTGCGAAGATCGCAAGATCGGAAACTGCTGCTGTACTTTCTTTTAAGATTGTTGGTGTTTTGTTTTCCATACCGACTGTAGTTTCAGATACAATTTCCGCTAGGAAGATCCTAACCAGGTAGTGAAGATATCTATTGAGCTGGACGGTCGGATTATTTAATTTTGTCTTCACTAAAGAGGTATGATTGATTCACATATATTGATTGTCAGATATATTTGACACTGTCAAAAAAAAAGCCCATTAAAAGATGTCAATTTTAAGATATAATAGAGATTATATACCAAATGGAGTAGAGTC